TGTAAATATCATCTTCACCGTAAAATGGACATTTTCCGTAATTACTATCTTAAACTTTTATGTTAACTTATAAGTATTTAATATTAAAGTATTTAATGTCTTTACGATATCAAATTATAAATTAATGTATGACAGAAAATAAGTGGAAACCTCGTTGTAGTTAGTTTTACATCCCATTACATTTACAAATCTAAACTGCATTGATAAGTAATATTAATACTTTATCCCCGTTTCTCCCTTCCCCCTGCTCCGTATGTATCAAGCTAAATTGGAGCTTATCAAACCTAAACAATAGACTGCATAATTAAAGATGGTGGATTAGCTAGGGTTAACTTTATACTGAGATCTGATAAGAAGACGATCAGATGGGGGAGTGATTACATTTGACATGGTTTGAATAAGAAACTAGAGTATATATAATATAAACCACTGCTCCGGCGGTCTACCTAGGTGGTCTCCCCCCACCACTAGCTATCTATCCTTCTCCCTAGACCCAACTTGAGATCTCAATTACATATCATCAAACCACGAGGTGATATCCGCAACTCTTAATCTTCTTCAAGCTCTATCCTAACCTCTCCACCCCTCTCACACAGCTAATCTGTCATTGTATAGTGTACCCGGAGTAAAACCTGTGTGGTTTGTATCCAACCCTGTACCCGGAGAGGGTCAGACCGCGGAGTCTATTATCCACGTAATGCTAACCTTGCTTCGACTCTGAAACCGCCCATGAATTGGATCCCGAGAAAACTCCATTAGTTTGACTTCTTTTCTTGCTTATTATGTAATTAGCATTGAAACCTTTTTGCATGGTTAGTCCACCGACATGCAAGAATTTAAGAGTCCTCAGATTTAGATGAAAAATTATCAAAAAATTAAACAATTTGCAATTTCCTGTTTTTGCATTTATTATGATAATTTTAAAGCGAAATGTGTAATTTGCTGATATATTTTGGTTGGGGGGAGTGGGTTGGTACCAGGGGCGTAATCAGGTATTTTTACAGGATGGGTAAAATATTTGCCAGGAACGTGATACTCCCATGAAGAATTATTAAACTCAAGTTAAATTAAATTAGAATCAGAGCTATAGCTCGTCGAAATATTATAACTAATCAGGGAAATGGGAGAAAACAAGGCCGATAGAAATTATTTTTAACTTTTTTAGTCGATAAATGATCAGAAACGGTATAATTTTATTATTTTCTTTAAAGGAAAGTTTGTTTAACATTTTTTCAGTATTTTTTGTTTGTTTTCCACATCTGGGACCTGCTGTATTCAAACTGTAAAATAAGAGAAAAAACTATTTTTCCGAAACTTTCTAGCAAATCTAAATTTTAGGAATTGCAGGAACCCTCCCTAGTCTCCTACCCTCTATCCCTCACCCTTTCCCTCCCCCTCCTGCCCTCCTCCTGTCCTCCCCTCCTCCCTCTGCAGGTTTAACTGAGAAATATGAATCTTCATTCCTGGAATATTTGGGAAACCACCCAAACCTGGCCAATTTCAAGAATGGGCTTATCGCCGTCAAATCTTTCTTTATTGTCGACCCTTCTCCACTATATCCCCGCCAAATCAACCTTCATATCCCCGCCAAATCAACCTTCATATCGCCGCCAAATCAACCTTCATATCCCGGCCAAATCAACCTTCATATCCCCGCCAAATCAACCTTCATATCCCCGCCAAATCTATCTTCATATTCCAGCCTAATCTATCTTAATATCCTCGCCGAATCTATCTTCATATCCCCGCCAAATTTATCTTCACATTTCAGCCTAATCTATCTTCATATCGCCGCCAAATATATCTTCATATCCCAGCTGAATCTATCTTCATATCCCCGCCAAATCTATTTTAATATCCCCTCTTAATACATCTTTATATGGTGTGCTGTGTACTGTGTACCCATGTTACTGAAAGAACCTATAAATCCCATTCTTGGGTTTGTAGTATGTCTCTATCCAACCTAAAAACTCTGCTTCTTGGGTTCTATAAGTGTGTACTGTATCCATGCATTCCATAGAACCTATAAACCCGGCTCCTTGGGTTCTATAGGCGTGAATTCATGTATCCATAGAACCAATAAATCCCTTTCGTTGGGTTTTATAGGTTTGTGTCCATGTATATCCCTTGAACCTATAAATCCCACTCCTTGGGTTCTATTATGTCTCCATCCAAACTACAAACCCTGCTGTTGGTAATGATGAATTATATCTTGATGACAGGGTACAGGGCAGGGGGAGGGGGATAGGACGGATGTGAATTTTCTCTCTCTCCTTGTCTCTGTATAGATAATGACATGTCTATCTATCTAGTCATCTTCGTTCAATTGAGTAACTCATCACAATTATATTTTCCCACCAATCCAATCCATTACTAGCTAAGCCAATGGGTTACCTATAAAGGACTAGACTTCAGAGACGACTTTAAGGAATTTATTTAGTCTTTTTTTGTTGAATTCCTGCTACCTTGTGGTTGCAAACTTGTGTCTATATGTGCAAAATTATTTAATCATTTATTCATTTAATTCAAATTCCATTAAACAGCTTTAGGTCGTCATTAGAGTCTCATCTTTTGTGGGTAACCCTGTAGGATGACGAAAAGAGGATACAATCCATTACAAGCTGATCTAGGATGACGAAAAGAGGATACAATCCATTACAAGCTGAGCTAGGTTCAGGATAAGAGGATTCAATCCATTACAAGCTGATCTAGGCTGAGGATAAGAGGATTCAATCCATTACAAGCTGAGCTAGGATGAGGATAAGAGGATTCAATCCATTACAAGCTGATCTAGGTTGAGGATAAGAGGATTCAATCCATTACAAGCTGATCTAGGTTGAGGATAAGAGGATTCAATCCATTATATTACAAGCTGATCTAGGTTGAGGATAAGAGGAATCCATTATATTAAAAGCTGATCTAGGTTGAGGATAAGAGGATTCAATCCATTACAAGCTGATCTAGGTTGAGGATAAGAGGATTCAATCCATTACAAGATGATCTAGGTTGAAGATAAGAGGATTCAATCCATTACAAGATGAGCTAGAATGAGGTTAAGAGGATCCAATCCATTACAGGCTGAGCTAGGATGAAGATAAGAGGATACAATCCATTAAAAACTGAGCTAGGATGAGGATAAGAGGAATCAATCCATAAAAACTGAGCTGGGATGAGAATAAGAGGATCCATTCCATTAAAAACTGAACTAGATGAGAGTAAGAGGATCCAATCCATTACAAGCTGAGCTAGGAGGGATAAGAGGATTCAATCCAAAACAAGCTGAGCTGAGTAGACACCTACTCCATAACAATTTTTCAATACGTGTATATCCAGGTTCAATCAGTCTGCTGTCAGAGTCAAATAGGACACAAACCACACGGCTAAAATCCCGTGACTAATCAACGCAATCTCGTTAACTATCGATGTCAATACAGACACTAGCAATCAATTGATCAAAGTCTCAACCAGGACACGATCCACATGGCTACAATCAACGCTGCTATACAGGGCGCGATCTCGTTAGCTATTGATGTCAATATAGACACTAGCAATTAATAGATCAATACCAATACTCAAGGCATGATACCGTAATCAAAGCAGAGTCTCAATCAACTGAGGTTTATTTCGTAGTTCAAATGAAAAATAGGTCATTAACAGCGTAGTTAAACGTTTGCGCTGTTATATCTATAACGAAGTTAACAATCCCAATATGGGTATGACGAGTTATACATTATCTACGTACATGGCATTACAGGATTTGCGTAATTACTATATGAACAAGGTACGACATATATTACAATAGTCCTCAATTTTGCTATAGGATGAGGATAAGAGGAATCCAATTCAATCCAAAAGAAATAAGTAGAAAATTGAATACTTTCAATACTTTTGTTTCTTAACTGCAGGGTGTCCCACGAAACATGACAGTTGGTGAATAGTTTTGAATGTCTTCTTCCATGTACTGTATTAGATAATAAAGACTTTTTGCAGTTTATTTAGCTTAAAAACTTAAATATATTTTACTTAGAAATCAATTTTACTATTATATGGATGCCATAAAATATTTATTATTATTCTATTTGGCAACAAACAACTTGACAAATTAGGGAAGAAGACGTTTTAAACTATTCACCAACTGTCATGTTTCGTAGGACACCCTCTAGGTAAGTAAGTACTAAGTAGTAAATGTAGTAAATAAGGATGAATGAATAGCTTTTTTTTCGGGAAGGATTCAGCCCCCCCCCCCCCTGCACACACAAATTTCATTATTGTCTTCACAAGTTTGTTTTGCTTTAAACTGTACTATACTTACACTGTACTATACTTAAACTGTACTATACTTAAACTGTACTATACTTAAACTGTACTATACTTAAACTGTACTATACTTAAACTGTACTATACTTAAAATAACGATTATTTTAAGTTTTGCTTGCATATTGCACAAACCAGCAGTGAGAACTACAGAAAACAGTGGCATTTCGTTATTTTCATTTTCTCTTTTACTCTCACTTGTTTTATCATAGATAAAGATAGATTGCGCATAAGGCGACATTTTCATCTTGAAAGATATAAATGTACAGAAATGTTTTAAAGATGTTCCTATTATATATATTAACTAGGTCGGTTTTGAACATTGGCTGTTCTTATGTCATTGAGTACTTGTGGTGTACATGAGTTCTGTAGAGAGAAATTTAAGTTAGTTTAGTCCTTCTCATGTCCTTTTTCAGTTCTCGTCAATATGATATATTGCTCAGTGAAATAATTTGATATTTTCAGAATAAAATTCACTAGTGGTTTAATAATTATGAAATCCATTAAAACACCAAACCACCCCGCTTATCATTGCAGTACACTTTGACCCCTAGAAGTATGAGTTCGCAGACTGTACAATTCTTGGTGATTTTGCGTACATAAGCTATCTATGGTTTTAGGCAGGATATTTAAACCCGGAAACAATCTCTTCACTATTATACCGAAGATAAAATATGAAAAAAGGATAAATCTTGATTAAGTGTATTGAAATGCCTTCAGGTATGATTAAATTAACATTCTCGTAAAGTAAAAAATAATATAGTAAGACCCATAAAAATTTGGAAGAAGAAGACGATGTTTAGGCAATATTATGTGTATTTGAGGTTGTTATAAACCATATAGTTTTTCAAATATTTTAAAAATCAACTTATTGAGTGAAATTGGTCTGTGGTGCACTGCACAGTTGCTTTGTTCAAGTCGTCTTTCTAGTCCACTGTTTTATGGGTCACACTGAACAAGTTTTTGATATTTAATTCAATCAATCCGGAGTTCGAAAAGGTTCTCCTGGGATTCCGTTGTGCAGCCGCAGCTCTCGGGTTGTCCACAGGTATCAACACTGAAAACATGGATGGAATAAAATGTCGTCATGCGCAAGATGAAATATTCAATTTTGAAGGATTTTAACTCTAAAGTTACTATAAAATGATTATATAGCATACAAATCACGACCTAAAAATGATGTAAAGTTTAATACAGTATTTCACAAATTTAATCTTTATGATTAAAAACATAATGTGCAGCAATTATAATAAGAAACAATGAAAAATGTCTGTATCTATAAAAGTTTCATTCTTTAATTGATCAAGTCTGTATATTATGCATGTATTCATGGCCAATAGAATTTATGCATCTATGGTTTCAAATTGTTAAAGAAATTAAATATCAAGATCTCTAATTGCATAATCTTAAACTTGATAAAAACAGATTAAATATGAATTTTATTTCTGAACCTGTCTTGTTCATTTCTTAGATCAATTAATCCTCCTGAATTGTCCAAATCAGGTAAATTCTCTTCTCCTGGATAACATTGCATAACCTAGAAACAGATTTCATATTCAGAATAAAATTCAAAATAAAAAAAATGAGTTGTTAAATTTTCTGATTTCTCTTTGCAACCTTCCTTTGGTATTTTAAACTTAGATTGTTTGATCAAACAGAGTTCATTGTTTGAAAAAGTTATACAGATTGGAGAATAAGAGTTTGTGGCAATGACTTTATTGCTTTCAGATAAGGTTGAATTGTTCAGTGCTTGAATGAAATAAAAAACTGTGAAACCAGAGAACTATATGGAATGATTTTTGTCTTTCAAATATTGATAATCCATGAATTTCGGAGAGTTTTTGTATTTTTTAATCGTAATAACTGATAAACATAATTGTTACAAAAAATGTACAATAATATATAATTGAATAATTATATGGAGCTCTTTAAAACTGTTCCGGCATTTTTCATGAAATCTTGAAATATTGTCAAGACGACATTTTAAAAATTCCTTCGATGTTACCGAAGTTCTGGGTTAAACTATATCTTATGAGGGAACTTTTAAATTTGAGAATCAATGCTTGATCCCTCAATTCCCTGCATGTACAATGGAGATCAATACTGGATCCCGAGATTCATAATTCAAAAGTTTTGACTTCAGGGAACTTTTTCAAAAAAATAAATTATTAACAAAATTCAAAATCAATAAAAGATGATAACAATCATTCCACTTTATTCTTGTCGACATCCTCTGTGAAAACTAAACGATTGTACAGGGTAAGTTGTCGAAGGTCGTCTTTGATCTTTGAAATAATTTGCGGCATTCAATTCGTAAATCTAATGTAAAAGTATAATCCTAGAGCTTAAAATCACAAAATAACCTTACTTTTGGCATTTCCAGAATGTGGTTTGACCATTTTGTGCTTTCAATATTACCGGAGATATAAATAGAATACTTTTGTTCAGATTTCGACTATTTTGGTTTCATTTTACAAATTGAAATCTGAAGGAAATCTCCGGAAATATTGACAGCACTAGAAAGTCCGACCATATTTGCCAGGACTAGGGACACTAGGAAGATGTTTTAATTATTGTTTCAAGAATCACACATGTAAAGTAGGTTGATTAACGAATGCCGCAAATAATTTCAAAGATCTAAGACGACCGCCAAGTCGTCTTTCTTTCATCAACACACTACTCAATCGAAATACTTCGAGTTTAAACTGAAAAAAAATTATTTAGAATTAAATTGAAATTTCACTGAATTATATATTTTCAAATGATTGACAAGTTTTAAAACCCTAGGCAGGGGAATCAAAAGGGACACACATTGATTTTCCTTGTTTTTCTCAAAACACGTAAATTTTACAAAAAGTTTTTCAAGTCATTCCCATTCTAAAAATGAACATTTTTATCTGACAGCTTTGACTGAGATTCAAAATGTTTTTGTAAAAATTCTATAATTTCCATGAAAAAAAACCACAACAAATTAAACCCTACCTGTTTAATCCAGCAAATTGCGATAAATATTCTAGAGTAAACTCCAGGTATACTCCTTCCACACCCTACACCCCAGGCAGTGACACCAACCTGAATACAGTGAAACCCTTAATAACGAATACATCAGAAGAATTTATCAAATGTCGTCTTGACAATTTTTCAATGAGTTTCATACTATATTACGTAAATTTCAGTATTTGCGAAAATAAATAAATAGCCATTAATATGCGGGAACAGTTTTAAAGAGTTCCATATAATCATTTAATTAAAAAACTAAATATCTGCAACATTCCATTATCAGAAAGTGAAGAATACGACATTTGATGAATTCTTTCGATGTATTCGTTATTAAGGGTTTCACTGTAATAAATCAAAGCTTTAAAAAAATTAAATTATATTCGCATATTAAACCCGGACTAAATTGACGAGTATATCCGAAGGTTACAAAAAAGTATTATAATTATTAGTCTGTTGTGCAGCAATACAAACTTTTATTTTATTTAGATTTTCGAAAATTGCAATTTTTCGCTGATTTCTCAGAACCAAAAATGTGATCACATGTCTATAAAAATAACGTCCTACACAATACAGTATACACATGATGATCTATTTTAGGTATGAGGTAGCCTGAGCCTGCAGAGAAGGTTTCTATCTAAAACTTTACAAATCCTTTTCTTCTCTTTCAAGAAATTACCTGAAAAAAGGTAGCATTCAGCCCAGAGTCAGCGAGAACCTCTGAAATTATTTGTTTAAAAATCAAACCATTGTATGAAGCGGACCCCCCCGAAGGACCAAAGAAGCACATATTTCCTTAAAGGGAAAAAAGTTTTCCTTACAGAGGATGAAAGTAAGCTCTAAAGAGTATAAACTACAGTTTTGTAATATGAATGTATACAAATTTTTTAAAAACCTTAAAAGTTAAAAAACGAATAAATTTTTCGACTTTTACTGATGATGTAAACACGTGTATACCTTGTACATCAAATCGTTTACAAAGAAGAGGACCTCCTCCATCCCCCTCACAAGTATCTAGGCCAGCAACACCCCCTACAATTTAGCATATAAATTAAAAGCATTTTGGGGGGGGGGGGGGTAAAAGTCGGGTTTCAACTACAGTGGAACATTACATTTGATATATATTTGAGGAATAGTGTAAATCAAAGTTTGGTTTACACCTTACAATGTCCTTGAGGTTTAATAATGTCCGGTCCACCCTAATTTATATCCGACCTGCGCATAGAAAAGATTCGTCGATCTTCCATCGCCAAGAGTTATCAGCGCCGCCCAGCGAGAAGTTTTGGAAATGTTTTGTATTCAAGATTTCCTCGCAGTCTTCTGATTTAACCACCGATAGATCTACCTACAGTGGGAAACTGTGGAATAGGAAGACAATTTGATGTTGTAATAAAGCTAATAGTTTTACCAGTAGCCCGAAAATCAACTAATAAGTGAAATAGGTCCTTGTAAAATGGATGATTAATGTGTTTTATGTTTATTGGAAAATTTAAAATCACAAAATGTCGTCTTCATATTCTTAAGTTTTATGGATCACACTTAACGTGAATTCAAATCTTCTAGAATCAACCTTTTTTCAATTTCGCACATTATTTAAAGTCTTGTTATGTAAACAAATATAAATCCATCCTGTCCTTCAATCTAAAACTTGAAAGATATCAATGTTTTCTAGCCACAAACTTAAATTTTCGAATATGTATATCTTTGCAATCTGATGGTGTAAACCTTAGATATTTCAAACTTAGACTATTTGATCAGAATTCATCGGGACGCACAGATATAAGGATAACAAAATGAGAGTTTGTGACATAAACACATGATTATTGGAGATAAATCAGTTACTAGTTTCTAAATACAGAATATTTCATAATTTAAACCAAGAACGAAGATGACAACAATTTCACTGTTTCCAGGTAACCCCTGTAAACAATATATATATAATTTAAGAAGTAGCTTCTAACCTTTCTCAAAAGTGAGGAGTAAAAGTTGTCAAAAAGATCTTCTCCATCCTTTCCATGACCTAGAAAAGAGAGAGATCGCAATCATTCCAGGCTTAGCACCCGTTGGGGCCTGAAAACCATAGATTTCATGCGGTCTGGGGAGGGCCCATAGCCCCCCCCCCTGACAAAGCCTCTGATTTAAACATGTATTTTTTCGCATAGATTTTGATGTTAGAAGGATGACTACGTCCTGTCCAAACAGCTCACACAACAGTTGTAACCAGAAAACTGTGAATGGGTTCTCGTCTTCGTTTGTTCTTTTGATTTTAAAATGTAATAAATTGTGATTGTAATAATTGAAATATTTCTGAATATTTCCAGGACACATGTTTACAAATGTACCAGTTATAGATAACAAGATTCATAGCGACATTGCATATAAAAAGAAAAATAGAAGCCGACTAACTTTCAACTGTATTTTGGTGAACACTGTATCTGTGGTTGAAATATAGACGTCGTCGCATATATAAATACAATGAAAGCGATTTCACTTTTGATTCCTATCAAGATGTTTAACAGCATGGATACACATAAACATAGTATTTAAGAGAAGCTGTCAATGAAAAAAGCTTCTCTTTGACTACTTCTAAACTTGTAATTAGAAAAAAGCTTGTTAACAACCAAAGCTTAAATAAAAGTTGTATTCATTGTATTGATATATTCGCCTACCAATGTATATATAAATCTAACCTATAGCTTGACAATCCTTGGTGAATATATCTGTCTCAGATTCTCCGGGGTGAGGCAAACAAACTCTAAACATTTAGAGAAATCATTAATCAATAAAAGGATTGTCTACGGAGTTAAAAGGATCGTCAACACAATTAATGGATTTGGAAACAACAGTAAAAAAATTGTAAAAGCAATTAAAGGGACTTTCAACGTAATTAAAGTGAATTTTGAATTTTGTTGTCACTGAAATCATATGGATGAATTGTCAATGCAATAACACGAATCGTTAACTTAATAAATGCTGTTAAAGGGAATGAAACAAAATTATAAAAAGCGTAAAAGAGAACAGTAAAAAAACTTAATACCAAAAAATTCATTTCTTTAAAAAAGAATGCATGTCTGAGATAATCATGGCGATTTTTTTTTTAGAAGAAAAAAAGTGTCTAAATAGAACGTTTTATAGAATATTTTACCTTCCTAGTTTTGACGAATATTGGAATGGTTCAGTTGTGATCAGAATAGCGTAGTCGTTCGTCAGACTCCTGTTGTTGTAGGAGGGATGTAGGAATATTTTCTAAATATTGGAGGGATGGAGGAATATTTTCTAAATATTGGAGGGATGGAGGAATATTTTCTAAATATTGGAGGGATGTAGGAATATTTTCTAAATATTGGAGGGATGGAAGAGTATATTCTAAATAATAGAGGGATGGAAGAGTATTTTCTAAATATTGGAGGGATGGAGGAGGATTTTCTAAATATTAGAGGGATGGAGGAGTATTTTCTAAATATTGGAGGGATGGATGAGGAAATTCTAAATATTGGAGGGATGGAGGAATATTTTCTAAATATTAGAGGGATGGAGGAGTATTTTTCAATAATTAGAGATTAAACAAATTTTGCAACGCAAGCTTAGAACATTCTCGTGGATCTGACAGATAGACAAGCAGACAGAGAGTTCTACTTTATATATATATATATATGAAAGCGTTTGAGGATAATCTGTTTGACATGATTAGAAAGATTGAATTCAAACCAGCTAAACCAAATTTCCAATCAAAACGGAAAGAAGATATCAAGAAAATTAAGAACTCTTCTGAAATTATAATAAGTGCTGACGAAAGGCAGAACAAGTGTACAGTTCCTGTTGATGAGTATAAGAAAATCTTAATTGAGAATGTACAGGGTGTCCCAAAAAACATGGGAATTCAGTGACGAATTCGATATCGTCTTTTTAAATAATTCATTGATTTAGTATAGTGATACCTAATGAGAAAGCTGTAATCTGTAAGAGTTTCGTCTGCTATGTTTACAATTTGTTTGTTTATGTTTTGACTGCATACGGTTGTACTTAGTATAACAAGAAAATTGCAGTATGCAAACAGAGTAAACTTGTCCGTCTTCACTGTTCATCGTGCGGAGACATTATAGACACATCTTTACAGTCTTTTACCGTTTTCATAAAATAAACTCTAGCAGACATAATAATATTATTGATTTTGAAATTAGGAATTACAATGCTAATTCATAACAAAGACGATATTGAATTCGTCACTGAATTCCCATGTTTTTTGGGACACCCTGTATCTAAAAGAAATCCAACAAGAACGAGCTTAAATAAACAAAGAAGCTGCAACAATAGTGAAAGATCAAGAGATAGCTGACAGAGCGGATCAATTTATAGAGGCAAACTCATTTATTTCTGTAAAAGACCATAAGCCAAACTTTCCTTCAGAAATCCAGTGCAGGTTAATTAACCCAGCCAAATCTAATGCTGGGGTTATAAGTAAACCCTAGAGAGAGCAGTGAATAAGGTGAAGTCTGTATGTGGATCCAACCAAATGGAACAGCTCCAACCAGATTTAGAATTAGATTGGTTCGAAAAAACTGGAGAATAAGGAAAATTTGACTTTTTTTAAATTTGATTTAGTATCATATGACCCTTCTATACAGAAAATTAATTTCTGATGCTTTTTTACACAAAAGAAGTCTTGGATCATGCTAGAAAATCATATTTATTCCAGAATTGAGAACCATGGATCAGGAAGAATGATTTGAATCTTGATGTTACTATGTGATCTTTTGATGGAGCAGAGGTGTGTGAGCTGGTTGGACTATATCTGCTAAGTAAACTGGAGACTCTAAATGATCAGACTCATAAAGGACTCTGGACTCAACAGAGATGATGGGTTGGCAGTTTTAAACCTTAATGGAGATCAGATAGAAAGGCTCAGGAAGCAGATATTCTAAATATTCAAGTCTCTAGATCTTTCAGTAACCATTGATGCCAACAGTACTGGTACAGATTTTCTGGATTTATACTTAGATCTTAGAGAAAACTCGTATAAACCCTACAGGAAAAAAACATAGTTCAATACTATACATTTATTCTAATTCCAACCACCCAAAGTCCATAAAAAAACAGCTATAACCAAATATGATTTCCAAACGCATCTCAGACATTTCTTGCTCCAAAGAAGTCTTTGAGAAAGAAGATCCCGTATACAATGAGGCTCTGCATAAAGCTGGATACAGATCTAAAGTGAGTATTACAGAGTTCACAACAACACCCATAAAGAAAAGATCTAGAACTGGAAACATTTTTTGGTTCAACCCACCCTTCAATAGCACTGTAAAAACAATGATTGGATCTAATCCTTATCCTTGATCAGCAAACATTTTGGAAACAGAGATTTGAAAAAATCTGCAACATATCAACAATTAGACTATCATACAGTTGTCTACCCAACATAGAATCAATAATCTCTTCTCACAACAGGAAACTATTGAGAAGATCTACTGAAACAACTCCTAATATAACATCTAGATCTTGAACTATAGAGTTGTCGACCATTAAGTATGCTCCGTGTCGTGTCGTCTTTAACTTAAATCCCCTCTCGGAGACACCAAAACCAAACCAAATAATTTTAACCTCCGGTTTCTTTGTTCTCCCTGTCGGAGTATAAACAACCTTAAGCATTGTGAATCCATCCATTTTCAAAAGCTAAGCAAAGAATATTTTAATATAAAGAATTAGTGACTTTCGTTAATAATTAATTGTCATTCATTTCAGAAGTTTAAAACGTCTTAGTACTGTCTAACTACTTAACCCCTTTGTTATCAGAAAATAGATCGTAAGAATTTTTTCATTATAAACATTCATTGTAACAGGTTTTATATGTTATCATTTATATAATTTTTTTCAAGAAAATAAAGAGAATTCTTCATTATCGATTTTGATTTGGGTGCAACTGAGAGTGCAACTGTAGAGGAGGAATTATAAATTTCCCCTTGGAAGGTGAATGCTTGATATAAAGTCTATTGTTTAAAACGCAGAAGTGATCTCTAACCAACAAAAAATCTTTAAATTCAGCATTAAAGTACAAAAATTGCAATTAAAATTTCTAAGGTTTTGAATGTCGCCGTTTCCTCTGTGAAGACGGAATTCGTTTCAGAATGTAACATATTGCTGCAAACTCGCAGTGTAATGTTTTGATTTTTGGTTTGGTTTGGGTTGGTTAACGAGTGACAAATGAAGAAAAAAACTTGAGCTATGGCTCAAAAAAGGTATCAGGGGTACTGCCCCCCCCCCCCTGTATAATGTATATGCGCTTGGATAGTTAATAAAAATTACCTTTATATTAACAAATGCAAGTATTTATCGACCCTTAGAAACTATGAAAGCATATTTTAAATGTCGTCTTCAATTTCTGAGATTTTCAATTTTTTTTAAAATCTGTTTATTATGCCAAAAAAAATGAATTGTATGGTAATCATTGTCAAATTATCTGCTCTCAAGGCTTTAAAGATTTAGAAAGTCATTAGCATTATTTTAAAAATTAATTTAATCATGCTTAAATCAGGTGCTATAAGATCCAAAAAAGTCAAATACTTGATTGTTAAACTACCTACATCTTCTGAAATATTTGACCTATCAAAAAATCAAGAAAGCCTTAAATGTGTATTTGGAATTTTTAGAGGGGGTCTCGGGCTTACAAATTTTATTTAAATTTCAAACTAAAGAGATATGTAAAAATAAATTTGGGGGAAATTTTGGCTTACATTCCTTACATTGTAACTATAAAATTCGCCGACTGCTGGCTCCCCAATTTTTTTTTTATATTTGGACTTCATGGGCCCCATTAAATCTATGGTTGGTAATTGTTCCAAATGTGTTACATCAAAAAAGTCAATTGATGACCTCCTCTATTATTCAAATCAGTTTTAGGCTTTACATTTCCATTATTTTCGACCACTTTTGAATGGTAACACTATCGTAAAAAGTTCAATTTTTTTTTTAGTCAGGGTTAATCTACTGAGGATTGGCGCAATACATGGAAAAATCATGTATAGTAAAATCCTGAAATACATTAAAATCTTTTAATTTGAAGCTGATTCTTTTATAACTATATATATATGTATTATATCTTCTTAAAATACATATCCTAGATATATATACATATTATATCTTCTTAAAATAAGTCTAGAACATGTTCTATTGTTTATTAAGATTGGTTATATATATATATATACCTGGATGGGTCTATCTAGAGAAGAAGGTTCGGTTGTCTCTTCCCTTGTTACTTGTAGATCCTTCCCACCACATCTGCATGTAGAATTTAAAGGGACTGACGTTGACATTCTAAGCGACATTTCATTGGAAGCGGGGCATGCCTAATTCACAACGGTACCCTTTTAACTTTAATCTGATCAATAATGTGGAAGATTTTGTTGTTTTCCAGAATGAAAAAATGTTGAATTTTTACACTTTCCTCCATATTTCTGGAGCAGAAATCCGCAAGGGACTTTGAAGAAAATCAAAAAAAGCTTTAATGAGTATAACTGTAAATTGTACACGCCACTCTCTACAAATGAAACGTATGAACAAAGGAACAAAATAACAATAATAAACTATTCCTAGATATTTGAGACTTCAAGAGAAAAAGCATTTTTGTTGCTCTAATAATTGTGTAGTTTATTGTAAAGTGATAACCAGATAACAATGAAATAGGAAGACGACATTATAGCGATACTTATTTATGGTGTTAGAAAGCAAATGGTTTTACACTTATAAAATCATTTTTTTTGTGAAATGGGTCTTTTTACACTGCACAATTGCTGTGTTTCGTCGTCATTGAACTTTTTAAAGTTAAAACTTGATCATAAAAGTCGTCTTACTATTCCAGAGTTTTCTGGTTATCACTTTATGTAGATCCTAGAAAAACAAACATTAAGACTGTTATAGAAAAATGTACAGGGTGTCCCAAAAAACATCATAATTGAGTGACAATTTTGATATCGTCTTTGTAAATGATTTTCTGATTTAGTATGGTAATGCCTACATTCAACTAAAGCTGTAAATGTGTCGTCTGCTAGAGATTGTTTGTTAATGTTTTAGTTGCGTTCTGAATTGTACTTCATAATGAAAAATTCTTGCTCTTCACTGAATTTATCTTGCAGAAATGTTACAGACACATCATAACTTTATCATGAGCATTAATATTAGGTAATACAACGCTAATTCTTAAAAAAGATGATTTTGTTTTAGTCGCTTAATTCCCATGTTTTTTTGGAATATCCTGTATGATAATTTTCATTACTGGATGCAGTGCATCACAAAATCTTAAAGTACTCCTATGAGAACTCAGAGTTCAAAGATGGATCTAAAGTCGTCAACAATTTTATATTCTATTACTTTACAGCTGACCTCGCGAAAAGTGAATATTTAGGTGAATATCCGTCACAGGACGATCCTTCTCCTAATCCAACAATTAAACTTGATTATGTTTTTTTAAAGCATTTAATTTTGTCATTTATATTTATCATATATACTTTTATCATCTAATATTGATTTGAAAGTGTTTAACTTTTTGATTCTCTTAAAAAGAAAAATTAATTTAACAATCATGCGCAAACTAATAAAATGAATACTGAGATATTTTCAAAAAAAAGTTTTTAGATTTTAAATGTTGTTCCTAGAATTTTGAAGTTTGTGAACAGAGTAGCCAAGGATAGAATTTGGTTTCTTTGTATCATGGTTCCTCCCCCTAGAGTTATATATTAAACCATAAATGTAGAGTTATATATTAAACCATAAATGTAGAGTTATATATTAAACCATAAATGTCGTCTTAATCCAATCAAAATTTGTTTGTTACAGAATTTCTTGATGTTTCTAAAATGTCGTCTTCATCATCAAAACTATTGAAAAATTAGATTATATGAGAGAAATTAAAACGCAACAAGATTGGATGGTTTCCATGCAAATTATACTGCTTGTTTACAGTCGAATTATGCTGCTTGTTTACAGTCGAATTATACTGCTTGTTTACAGTCGAATTATGCTGCTTGTTTAAAGTCGAATTATACTGCTTGTTTACAGTCACATTTTACTGCTTGTCTACAGTCGAATTATACTGCTTGTTTTAGAGTCGAATTATACTGCTTGTTTACAGTCGAATTATGCTGCTTGTTTTAGAGTCGAATTATACTGCTTGTTTACAGTCACATTTTACTGCTTGTCTACAGTCGAATTATACTGCTTGTTTTAGAGTCGAATTATACTGCTTGTTTACAGTCACATTTTACTGCTTGTTTACAGTCGAATTATACTGCTTGTTTTAGAGTCGAATTATACTGCTTGTTTACAGTCACATTTTACTGCTTGTTTACAATCGAATTATACTGCTTGTTTAGAGTCGAATTATACTGCTTGTTTACAGTCGAATTATACTGCTTGTTTACAGTCGAATTATACTGCTTGTTTAGAGTCGAATTATACTGCTTGTTTACAGTCGAATTTTGTTTTTAAAAACTCGCCAATTATAGTCATAAGTAAATAAAAATGAAATTTAAACAAAATGTCCATGGTTTAGGATTTGATCATTGGAAAACGAAATTGCGTAATATCAGCTCAAGGTCATCTTTATGCCTAGCAACACTTTTATAGACATAGTCCACAGAAGTGAAGATATATTCAGAGAGTTTCACGGACATTCTCTGATTTTGAAGAAAAATCCAATTGATCGACTTTCCAGATTATTAGCTCGGGAGATTCCTGAAGCTCCATTAGACATTTTTCAAACTGATACAGCATAATTATAATGTTTATATGCCTGAAGTGACTTAATAAGCAAATAAGAGTCTCATGAAAAATCATTAAAGAAAGGCATGTAGCCCATATTTCAAAATAAAAATATTGAATTCTAAAATGTATTGTTCAAAAACAAATAAAATCTTTATTATGGTTATTTTTGTATTTGTTTTTAGTAATCTTTTTGGTGTGATAATAGATTATTTTGATCTTTGAAGAGGCGATATTTATCTATCAATCATTGAAAATACCATATTTATTTTTGATCTTTGAAGAAGATATATTTAATTTTGATCTCCTGAAGAAATCATTTTAGTTTTCGATCTTTGGATAAAACAGATTTATTTCGGTATGTGAAGAAACCATATTCTTTTTGATTTTGTAGAAGCCATATTAATTTTTGATCTTTGAAAAGACGTTATTTATTTGTGGCGTTTGAAGAAACTTGAAGAAATCATATCGATTTTTTATCTTTGGTTAAGCCATACTTATTTTTGATCTTTGAAGAGACCATGTAGATTTTAATCTTTAGATAAACTTTATTTGTTTATATTTGAAGAGAACATGTTAATTTTTGATTTTTAGGTAGATATCTTCAGATAAACTATACTTATATTTGATCTTTGAACAATCCATGTTTATTTCTATTTGATTATTTAATCAAATAATGTTTAAGAACGTCATATTAGGTATTTGTCTGTCCGTTGCTAGAAAGACGACATTTTCCGTCCATCGGAGCGCATCCAGAGTATTTAACATTGTACTCTATAACCTTGGATTAGATACTTGGTAAAATTTATATGGTTTAATTAAAAGTCTATTATGAAATAATTTCAACTATAATGAATTTAATGTAGATACCTAGAAATATGCTGGACTTTTCCGTTCGAACATAAAGAGCACAAAAATAAGTATATTCCCCTAAATAAAAAATAATTGTTGACAAAAGAAGATTATTTTTTGTGTTGGGACATTTCATAGACAGGACATTTCATAGACAGGAAATTTCATAAAGAGAGGACACACCTAAATAGACATTCGATAGATGGACATTCGATAGATGAACATTTTTGAGACAAGACGGTTCATTAATAGGATATTTCTTAGATAGGGCATTGCATAATTTCGACATTTTATAGATATGACATTTCAAAAATAGGTCATTTCATAGATAGGACATTAATCAGATAAAGGACATTTTATAGATAAATCAATTCATAGATAGGACATCACGCATAAATAAGACATTTTAAAGATATTTAAAAACATGACATTTCAATTTAATTGACAATGTAAATCATTCCTTTTTCCAAAATTATGTTACTTAATATGTGATACATTGTGCAACCTGTAATAAATGTCCTATCTATGATTTTGCTTTTAATGAAATATCCATCTTTAAATGTCTTTCGATCTATATAGTTTTCCACAAAGGATGAGGCTTTAATGACGACCCGAAACTCATTAAATATGACAATTTGAAGGTTTAACTCTATAACCTCCTTCTTTACTTTTGTGTTTTATGTTTCTTTTTTATAAGATGGATACGAAAAAGGAGAGATATAATTCGCTGTGCAGTGGATGTGTAAGTATCCCTGCATGTCTGTAATAATCATCACCACATATTTTTATTTCACCTGTTGGAGAGAATCTTCCGCATTGGTTGAAATCCTGGAACAGGTTTCAATTTCAAGTTCAAGTTTACAATGTTAGAATAAACTTAGCGCACATATCTATACAGGGTTACCACCGTCTTTGGGGTTACCCACGATGGATGAGACTTTGATGTCAACCTGAAACTCTTTAAAATGAAATTTTGAAGATTGAATTTTGGGACAATGTCTTGAAAATAACGAAGAAACATGGGCATTTGACCAATAAAGATTACAACTGTAAGAAACAATGACTGAAGGTTAGAACTATATAATTCCGTAGGTCAATTCTGAAGTCTCATCCTTTGTGGGTAAAAAACGTGTAGAATAAGTTGCAAACTTTAAGATATAAAAAGTTCCAAATGCAAACTAATTAATGTACAATGATGTACAGTAAAACTGTGGAAAAGAAAGGCAACATTCTGTGAATTTGATGTTGTTATAAATCAAATAGTTTTACAAGGAGATGAAATCCCCCAAGAGAAATTCAAGAAATGATCCAAAGAAAGGTGTGGCCGACTGGACGGCGGTAACCGATTGGGCATAGGATGAAAATATTTAATTATTGAAAGTTTTCACCTCAGATAAACCATATATTCACATTTATTACCTCCTCTACCCCTTGAATAGGATTAATTAAAGGCAGAAGTAGAATTAAACTGGAAAACAAGATGGTAACCATTGTTGCTTAGCTCCTGTAGCAACATAAACTAAATTAGTATTTGAGTCTGGTTACAGGACCCGCGCTCTGGGTCTAGCCTGGAACAGAGGGGTTCAGATCTGTAATTCACAGGAATAAAGCTGTTAAACTCTCAAAATTAGATTGTGTAAGCTTGAAGACTCACACTTGGTGTAAGAAAGCATTAAGAAGAAAACGTATTGGAGAAGTTTTCAATAAAAACTATTTTTATCCAGAAGTAATAAATATTTAGTAAATATACATAAAATATTACTTTACAGTATAACTAAAATACAATGATATACAACTAAATACAATGATATACAACTAAAATACAATAATATACAACTAAAATACAGTGGTATAAAACTATAATATAGTTATATACAACTAAAATACAATGATATACAACTAAATACAATGATATACAACTAAAATACAATGATATACAACTAAAATACAGTAGTATAAAACTAAAATATAGTAATATACAACTGAAATACAATGATATACAACTAAATACAATGATATACAACTAAAATACAATGATATACAACTAAAATACAGTATTATAAAACTAAAATATAGTAATATACAACTAAAATACAATGATATACAACTAAAATACAGTGATAAACAACAAAAATGCAGTGGTTTACATCTAAATACAGTGGTTTATAACTAAAATACAGTGATATACAACTTAAATTCAGTGGTATACAACTAAATGCAGTGGTACATAACTACAATACAGTGCTAGACAACTAGATGCAGTGGTAAATAACTAAAATACAGTGCTAGAAACTAGAATACAGTGGTAAATAACTAAAACACAGTGATATACAACTAAATACAGTAGTATACAACTAAAATACAGTGATAAACAACTAAAATGCAGTGGTTTACATCTAAATACAGTGGTTTATAACTAAAATACAGTGATATACAACTTAAATTCAGTGGTATACAACTAAATACAGTGGTACATAACTACAATACAGTGCTAGACAACTAGATGCAGTGGTAAATAACTAAAATACAGTGCTAGACAACTAGAATACAGTAGTAAATAACTAAAACACAGTGATATACAACTAAATACAGTAGTATATAACTAAAATACAGTGATATATAACTAAATACAGTGATATGTAACTAAATACAGCGATATACAAATGAAATACATTTTTTATAAGTGTAAAACTAAAATAGGATGATATTCAACTAAAATACAGAAGTGTAAATCTAAAATACTATACGATGTCTTACTGAACTTTCTTTATTTTCTTGTATAACAGCAAAATATGATTTAAAGATTGGGTTCTTTGTTTATTATTTGCGAGGTGTGTTATAGTGTGGACAGCAATGTTCTGCACGAGTGAAATGTAAATACAAAGTCCAACTCTGATTGGTTCTAATCCAATTACAACCAAACTCTGGGAGTAAAATAAACAATATTTTGCAGATTTTATACAATTACATCAATCCTTACTCCCCCCCCCCCACATTTATTTTTCTTTTTCTCTCGGTTTATACTTAGTGTTATTTTTGTGTATTCTATTTTATACCTTTTTCAACAATGAGTTTAGGTATTTCAGTGGTTCCACAAAATTGCAAGGTTTTGAATATAAAATACTCTATAAGTTTGCTCTTGCTGTACATGCACCATATTTGCTCTGGCAGAAAATATTGCACGAAAGAAAACTTTGAAAAAATGTTTTTTAAACATTTTAAACGTTTTACATTTTTTCCGTTTAAAGTCCAAAATTCTGTAGTAAATAACATATCTGAAAGTCATAAGTACAGAATGACAGATTTTTTTCGTTATGATATTATTGATATATGATGAAAAATTCGTAAGATTTTTTTTTCAACCCACCGATCGAATGAAATAAGAAAATCAAATCGTGAAAACAGTCCTTTTAAAACAATGGATGAGGAGTGCGATAATAACTGTTGTATATATTGTTACACCCAAGAGACATAAAGTTATTATTACTATCCTAAGAAATATTGTTTGATATTGACTGAATGGTTAGTCATCATTACAATCTAGTGGTGGAATCCTGGATTTGGTTAATTTACAGGGTTACTTACAAAGGATGTTACGCGAGCCATGCTGCGTGTAGAAAGTCTGTTTGTCGCCCCTGCGTATTTCTGAGTTTCTCCTGAAGATCTGTACGGAATGTATTGTGAAAAAACTAGTTTAGGAACTGTTTACAGTCCGACTGCGCAGACGCAAGATTTCTCGCGGAGTAGTAGTTAAATTTATATTCAGTATATGTTTATTCGTTTTGCAAGTATTTTCCGTGTTCAGAATTCTGGGATCACCGTGGTAATTATTTTATATATATCTATGTTTATCGGTTGATTCTAGTATGATTGATGATTATGTATTCGTTTATTGGTTCCTAGCCACAGTTTTTTAATGCCTGAGTGGATTATTTGTTATAATTGTATGATTTTCACTCAAAGCTTTTTCTGTGGGTTTATTAAATTTGTTTAGATTGAAGGCTCAGAGAAATAAACGTTCGGAACCTTACTATCTTCCTTTTTATTATGAAGAGCGTTGAGAGAAGGGAGTCTTACGATCCAATCCTGAGAAATACCACACGGTACATATATTAGGTCTTTAGGGAAATCGCTAAGTAGCGAAACAAAGGATGACAGTTTATTGACGACCTAACATACAAGGTTTCCCACAAAAGATGAGAGAAACTTCATTTCATGACTTTAATCGAATCAGAAAAATAATTTAACCTTTGGATCGTCATATCTTTTAAGTTTTAGGTCGTCTTTGCAGTCTCATCATTTGTGGGATACCTTGTATAAACCTGCTAAAAGGTTGTGTTCTGTCGAAAGTATGCAGTGGTCAATATAGCTTTGAGCCATCCGGTATTTCTTTAAAATCAGAAATTTTTAGAAAAAAATGATCGATCTTTCGTTTTCCCAACTATCCAATCTAAACAAATTAGCTTCGGAGTTAGGAAAATATTCAGATTTTAAAACTTTTGAAACATCAGAATGCAAAAATTAATAAGTTCAAAACATATATTTTGTATGTAAAAAGAGTGTAAAAATCTAAAATGATTTATTTTCTATTGTTTGCAAAGTCTAGAATGATATAATTTCTAGAGTTTACAAAGTCTAGAATGATCTATTTCTAGAGTTTACAAAGTCTAGAATGATCTATTTCTAGAGTTTGCAAAGTCTAGAATAATCTATTTCTAGAGTTTACAAAGTCTAGAATGATCTTTTTCCTAGAGTTGACAAATTCTATAATGATCTTTTTCTAGAGTTTATAAATTCTAAAATGATCTATTTTGAAAGTTTACAAAGTCTAGAATGATCTATATTCTGAATTTTACAAAGGCTAGAATGATCTATTTCTAGAGTTTACAAAGTATAGAATGATCTATTTCTAAAGTTTACAACGTCTAGAATGATCTATTTTCTAGAGTTTACAAAGACTAGAATGATCTATTTCTAGAGTATACAAAGTCAAAGTATAGAATGATCCATTTCTAGAGTTTACAAAGTTTATAATGATCTATTACTAAAGCTTACAAAGTTTAGAATAATCTGTATTCTGAAGTTTACAAAGTCTAGAATGATCTATTTCTAGAGTTTACAAAGTATAGAATGATCTATTTCTAGAGTTTACAAGGCTAGAATGTTCTATTTCTAGAGTTTACAAAGTCTAGAATGATCTATTTCTAGAGTTTACAAAGTATAGAATGATCTATTTCTAGAGTTTNAAAACTCTAAACCAGGTTTGTAAAAACTCTAAACCAGGTTTGTAAAAACTCTAAACCAGGTTTGTAAAAACTCTAAACCAGGTTTGTGAAAACTCTAAAGATAGGATTTCCCCACAAACTATCCCGAAGAAAGCAATCCTGCATTTCGGTTGTCCAGGTTTTGTGTAACTCCTGTCCCGGAGTAACTAACTCAGTATCATGGTTTAGGTTTGGTTTACCCTGTCCCAGAGTAACTAACTCAGTATCATGTTTAGGTTTGGTTTACCCTGTTCCAGAGTAACTAACTTAGTATCATGTTTAGGTTTGTTTTACCCTGTCCCAGAGTAACTAACTCAGTATCATGGTTTAGGTTTGGTTTACCCTGTTCCAGAGTAACTAACTCAGTATCATGTTTAGGTTTGGTTTACCCGCTGTCAAGGAGAAATAAACATTGTATCATGGTTCAGGTTTTGTTTAACTGATGTTTCGGAGTAACTAACTTAGTAACATGGTTAAGGTTTGGTTTAACCACTGTCCTTAACTCAGTATCTTGGTTCAGATTTGGGTTAACCGGTATTCTGGATAAATTTACCCTGTAAATTGGTTCAGGTTTGGTTTAACCGGTATTCTGGATAAATTTACCCTGTAAATTGGTTCAGGTTTGGTTTAACCGGTATTTTGCATAAATTTACCCAGTAAATTGGTTCAGGTTTGGTTTAACCGGTATTCTGGATAAATTTACCCTGTAAATTGGTTCAGGTTTGGTTTAACCGGTATTCTGGATAAATTTACCCTATAAATTGGTTCAGGTTTGGTTTAACCGGTATTCTGGATAAATTTACCCTGTAAATTGGTTCAGGTTTGGTTTAACCGGTATTCTGGATAAATTTACCCTATAAATTGGTTCAGGTTTGGTTTAACCGGTATTTTGGATAAATTTACCTTATAAATTGGTTCAGGTTTGGGTTAACTGGTATTTTGGATAAATTTACCCTGTAAATTGGTTCAGGTTTGGTTTAACCGGTATTCTGGATAAATTTATTGGTTCAGGTTTGGTTTAACCGGTATTCTGGATAAATTTACCCTGTAAATTGGTTCAGGTTTGGTTTAACCGGTATTCTGGATAGATTTACCCTGTAAATTGGTTCAGGTTTGGTTTAACCGGTATTCTGGATAAATTTACCCTATAAATTGGTTCAGGTTTGGCTTAACCGATGTTTTGGATAAATTTACCCTCTAAATTGGTTCAGGTTTGGTTTAACCGGTATTCTGGATAAATTTACCCTGTAAATTGGTTTAGGTAAGGTTTAACCG